CCTCCGAAAGGGAGGAGGTACCGGTTGCTTGGAAGGTCGAGCGGCCTAGAAGTCACCGCCCAAGAGGCAAAGCAGGCCGCTATATCTTCCGGCCGGGCGTAGAGTCCGGCCTCTTTTTCGGTGTGCAAGTTTGGCGACACACTGGTGGAGCGCTGGCTGGAGCAGCGCTATGCTGGAGCAGCACTGCTGGGGAGGAAGGAGAAGGACATGAGGGAGGAAGAAGGAAGGGGGAGGAGCGCCAGGGGTACTTACCTCGCTATGGTGGCAGCCATCTTCATCACCTTGGTGAGCGCTGAAGCAGGGAGTCCCCAAATGGGGAGAGCCACACCAAGAAGCTTCAAGGCAGGGTTGGGCATGGCGGCCTGAGCTAGAGCAGCCATAGCTGCTTTGGGTTGTCCTTTGGGCATCTGGGCAAGGCCTAGTAGTCCGCCATAGCCTCGGCCTATGAGAGTGAAGAGTGGGGGAGGCGGCCATGGCTATGGTGGACCTCAAGTGATACCTGCAGTAGAAGAGGGACTYGGACATTGATTCTGGATCAGCCATTCAACATTGTATTATTATTTCTTGTGTGAATAAGAGAAGGGGGAGATAAGGAGGAGGAGATTGTTGTGTGAATTGTCTATGCTGGTGTACATCATCTTCTTCTTCTTTCTTACTTCTTCTTCTACCCCTAATCCTCTCTCTCCTCTCAAGTTCATTCATTTCTTTCTGCAATTGGATGGCATTGTGCTATCAAATGGATGTGTATCTCGAAATTGGCCAGGATCATAACACAACTGTGCCCGCCCTAACAACCACCACCTTTAGTTTGTGCCTGGCCATACCCAACCCCCCCTTCGGAAGGGATACCCATACCCGCCCGTAACCTGGCGGTTACAATTGGGTACGGTCCGGGTACGGGTAACGGTTACCCGTTTGCGATTTGCCAGAGATGTTGTCTATAAGGTAAGCACAAAAAAACGAGTTCCAAATAATGGGAACTACCCCCCCAATAAGAAATAAGAACAAAAAAGCAACAAGAAAGAAATTACACTCAAACAGAACTTTTTTTTTTCCATTGGACCATTTGTGTTTTGTAACAACTAGAAAAAAACGAAACACCAAATTTGATAAGTGAAAAAAGGAAAACAAAAAWWGGGAGACGCTTAGAGAAAATTTGCATATGTTTCCAAAGCTTCCTTCGCTTGTRTGCAATTGGTCCTACGTTGAGCTTTCACATTGAGCTCCAGMGTTTGAAGTAATTCCATTGAGCAACYCTTGCAGTGGAGCTTTCSATCCAATACTTAGGAAKAA